TCACTAAAGCTCGGGGCGGCTGCGATGAGAGGGAGTGATGCAGGAGCGGTGTTCATGATGTTGCAAACTTGGCTGCTTGAGTGCTCTAGGGCCTAAAAGCCAGTGTGCGAATTTGACCATAGACGGCTTGAACGGTTTAGTTTTGATGAATAGCTTCAACCGTCAACCTGCATTGGATTGACGTCGCTTTCAGCTCAAGCTGGTGCCAAGGCAGCCACGTCACGTGTGGCAGCACCAACGATTGTCATCGTGGCAGGGTGTCGGGCGATCGATAGGCCGCCACAAGTCTTAGATCAAGCGTTGCTAGATGCCATTGGCTACCGATCGCCAGCAATCGCAACTGATGTTGGCATTTCGAAGGCTGTGCTTGGCAAGGTTGTCTGAGGACATTACAATAACTCTCTCTCTCCGTTTACTAAACGACAGCATCTGGGCTTCGATGTGAAGAATGAATGAGTGCAGCCTCAGTTCGCCGCGCCGGTGATGAAGTTGGTGATGCCGAAAACTGGGCCTCTTCCGAACGGACGGCTGCCGGGGTGGGGTGAGACGAAGCGCCCGCTCTCCTCTACGTCTCACATCGGAATAAGTTGCCGTGCTCTACTCTACCTTACCTCCAAGGTGGGAGTGTCTCAAATAAACTGTAGAGATTGCGGGCGATCCTGCACTCGATCATTTGATCCATCTGGCTGCACCACGGATGAAAACGAGGAGACATTAGGCAGGAAACAAAAAACTCGGTCACCAATCTCGGCAACTTCATTGACGATTCAAAACTGAAACCATCTGTCGAGTGTCAATGCTGAGAGGCGCCTATTGAACATTTGATGCCGAGGAGCTGGGTATCGTCTATTTCTTGCCTGTAGACATGCTTCTCGGGCACGGTTTTCTTGCAGGGTGCATCGGCTAGGCCTTGTCACATGGAACATAAGCCAGTACAGTTAGTTCACTTGACAAGATGTCTGCCAATGGAAGCAAATAATCATCGGCTATGTGACGTGCCTAGTCTCCTTGGAGTCAACCTCTAAACCGTCATGGCTGTCGGTTGAGTCGTTGTGGAACACTTGGAACTGTTTCGATGTCGCAAGCAAACCTAATTGCGAATAGGCACGTCGCCGTCCTTGAGCTGACCTCAATCGATGGATGAGTGTGTCCGACTTATTGACGGGGATATTTGCAGGCAATCCTGCAGGAGCAGACTTAAATAGATGTCAACGACTGCAGCTGACCCAACACCGTTACATGTGGGAGGACAAGCATATGAACCGGAATAAACCAATCCTGGACGAAACGAAAACAGTAGAGTCACCTAGAGCTGATGTAAGGTAAGGAAGCTGGAGTGGCTTGCAGCATGCAACCTGCAGGTAAGACCGTAAGACATATGTCGGGAAGAAACGCGCCAGACTCCAGTATGAGGAAGCTAGAGTAACCATAAAGTGAGAATTATGGAAACATAAGTCCTTACGGATCCTCTTTGCGCTTGTCGCTGTGCATGAGACAGTTCAACCTTAATACAGATTGACATCGGATGAAAGCAATGCGTTCACTCACTTGGCGATCCTCGAGGTCGGCTGTTCGGATCGTGGGTGCAACTATCCGGCGTTTACTGCGTAATGATCTCGGGTGGGGTTGACAATACTCAAAGAAGCAGAATTAGACGGCTGGCAGTGCCGAAATGATTACGTACGTCGTGATGAATCGTACTATTGAGGTGCAAAGCCTCGTGTCCTGATATTGTCGGACCTTGCGCGGGCCGGGGCTCTGAGTCGCGTGCTATGGAAGTCGGCTTCAGCCTCTGAAGAAGCAGTGAGCCTGGCAGACTGCCAGTGAGTCCGAATGATCTGAGCGTCCAGAACGGTATTGACTGCCCTGATGGAGGACAGCGGCCGGCATGGCAGTCCCGGGTCATGGAGCCGGGTGACATTCCGAGGCTCTAGCTTCGGCGTGGCGCAGTGTAGCCCTGGCTGTCGCATCCCGGCACGTCCTGCCCTGGGCTGGAAGAGGGCGAAATCCTGCTCGACTAACAAGCTTTGGATGATCCGGAGGACTGGCCGCTGGCCTCATCGGCTCTTTGTCAGGGCGGCAGGGAAGTAACGAGACAGACTGGGCGAGGAATGTGGGCGGCTGTCAGAAAAGGGCCAAACATGTGGAAGTGAAGTGCCAAAATGGGCGTTGTGTTGGAGTGAAATGGTGCTCTGATGGATGGGATTCGCTGGACGTGTGCCCCGTGGCGGCGGAAGCTCATTTCGCTTAGGGTTTCACAGCCGGCGCCCTGGGGTCTGGCTTGCCCGAATTGCTGGCCCTCCTGGGTCTGACGCTGTCGAACAGTCGTGGAATCCCCCGAGGCGACTCCATCTCCCGCGCTGAGAGTCTGGACTTGGTGCGCGGTCGATTTTCCCTGGCGATCCATCTGGCTCCACGTAACCGGCTAGCCGTAAAGAGGAAAAGGCGTAAAAGGGTCAAAACGACGACGACGTGGGGCCAGCCCAAAGTGGTGAAACGGGCCAAAAGCGCGGGTCTTATCGTGCTCACACGAATAATCGGCTCGCATTGGGCCCATTCTCCCATGACAATGGCATCAGTCCCTCGGGTTGCCCCAAGCGCGGGGCTGCCGTCCCAAGTCGACCGTTGTCATCCTTTGTTCGTCTGATACTGGGCGCTGCGGGACGGGACACGAAAAGTTGTCGTAGGGCCTGCCCTGCCCACCGAAGCCATTCGCCAGGCCAACTGGGACTACTCAGCCTGAGGGCCTCGTCAGTATTTGGGGGGCGTGGTCGGCGCCGCGCAGTCGTCAAAGAAGGCTCCCCCCCTCCCCAAGGAAGGTGACTCGTTGGCTCCGAGGCTTCTCACTGAGGGCCACGCAAGGGCAAGCGAGACGACGAAGGGGCTTTCCCGAGCGGCAATGTCCGGCGGCAGTCTCGCTCTTGTTGACGGTGATAATTTTGGATGTCTCCCTGGTGATGGCAGGCGTAGGGCTTTTACCATGAAAGAGCCATGAGCTACTTGTATGGAGGTCGACCGAGGGAGGAGAGGGAGCGGGGGCCAAGGCAATAATGACGATATTGGAGAATAGTGACTTGGTGTTGGAGGCGAAAAGAGAGGGATTTTCTGCAGCAAGAGACTGTCATCAATAGCAGAGCGACTAAGATGTTGGCGGAGGCACAGATAAGGTACTCGATCACTGACACGAGCGAAACGTCAAGGCTTTCATGTTGCACTCAGCAACGCGACTAGCCAGTCGAGCCTAAAGTGCTAAACTAAACGGTTGAAAAGGCGACAGATGTAACTTGTGTGCTTGTAAGCAAGTGATGGTAGGAACAAAACGACATTCTGATTCTCACCTACCATCGGCTGCCACCTGTGCCTTCCTCGCCAGCCAGTGCGTGCATCAACTTCTCGCAGCCGCTGACTGGCACGACTGGGTCGGATGGAGAAGGGGGGCCGGCGGTTGAGGGGATAAGCAAGGAAGGGGACTCTTGTGGTGAGGTATCTTTTAGCCGCGATGGCACGCAAAAGATACGAGACGAGGTCGTATTGAGCGACCTATCCTTGGCGCCCGGTGTTTCCAAGGTTGCGCCGTGGTGCCGGTTCCTGCAGCATTTGCCCCCCGTTCCTGCATAAGCCAGGGGTGAAAATGGCGCTTCTTGGTCCATTCGCCGCTCAGCCGTTGGCTCTCCCATGGGCCATTCTTCCAAGTTCCAAGCAGCAAACCTTTCCCCCTCCCCTCTTCTTGGCTCTTGGCTGCTCGCTGTCCCTGAGAAGCTGGCCATGGAGAAGGAAAAAAAAAAACACAAAAAAGGGCCAGCCAGGCCAGCATCAGTAGTGGAAGGGCGAACAGTCCGTAGGCGAGCGCTAGTCCGTCGCTGAGGTGTGAGGTGTGAGTGGGCGGCAACCCAAAACAATACAGATTTGACTGTCCGTTTCTCCCTCGTTTGGCACCATTCAATTAGCTATTGAAGCTGGTTTTGGTCAATTTACCAGTGCCCGAGAGTTGGAGAGCCAGGAGCCAGTGAAACCGAGACTCCATTAATTAAGGAATAGAGCCCAAATAGCTGGAAGAAGGAAATGGACCGTTGGCGCTGGAACACAGATCCTTGGCAATTGAACAATGGCATTGAGTTGAATTGTGGTGACTGACCTGCTTGGAATGTGTCTTATGTCACTGTGGATGTCTCTGATGCTGCCAGCCCACGATTCACCACGACAGTTCCTTGGCTTCTCCGCTCCGGGCAGCAATTTTTGGAGGGGATCGAGGTTGCAGAGTCGAGGAAGTCCTGGGTAATCATCTGTCATCAGGACGCAACGCCAGCACACCATCCCGGTTGTGCTGAGTGCCTCTCCCGTCCGCCAAAGAGTCAGTTCAGTCTTGGAAGATCCGGAGTGTCCAGACCACAGGGGGGGCCAAGCAGGAACCACAAAATTGATCAGGATCTGCAGAGAAAAGCATGGCCTGTGAGTCGCTGATCCCCCCGATAAAAAAACAAAATCTGAACAGGAAATCGGACGAAGCAATGGGACAAAAAGCTCTGATGAACTGCCCGGGGGGCGACAGTTCCCACTTTCAGATCCATCCAGTTATCGAACTGCGTGGATATCGATCACATGTGGGCTCCCACGTATGTAGACGGGGTTTCATGCAAGTCCAGCAAAGAGAAGTCGTTGAACTGTGTACGGGGTATCCTACGGATAGCTGTCAACCACGACAGCGACATGAACAGCAACGACCAAAAAGGGCCGCAAGTCAGGGAGGTACGTAACTCCTTCGGGAAGACGACTGGCCTAACAAGGGCACGCTCCACCTGCCACGGTTGTAACTGGCAGGAGCGACCACTACCGCACCACATCCCTTCCCGGAAAGCGCGATACATCCGGCCCGCTTGCCCCCTGCTTCTCCTAGTGCGCGCGGATAGGCAGGTACGGAGGAAGGGGTCACCACGACAGTTCGTACCTCCTCCCTCCTTCCTCGTGGTGAATCGAAAATCAGCCCCGTTGGCTCCAGTCAGAGTCGTACCTCTGGGCCTTTGGGTTGCCATCCTCCATGGGTGGTGTCTTTTGCTGGCGTACACTAGGTAGGTACCTGTGTCTCTGCAGCCCCAATGGGTCGGGCTCCACAGTCCGCACCTGCTTCCCGCATCCCAACTGCACCTGCATCTGATGTGCCTCCTGCTTGCCCACAACCGATCGTTTCCCACGCTCCTTCCTCCCAGTCGACCTCACCTTCCCATTGTTTCCTTCCCTCGTCCCTGCCTGAATTTGTTTCCTCCCCAGCACCCAGTCACTTGCCTTCTTAAACTCCCTTCCTCCCCCACACTCACCCTTCTTGTTGTTTCCTCTTCCTCACACCAACCGGCTTGCCTGTCCCTTCTTCAGTCAACAACACATTCCTTCACCAACGGTCGCCAGCCTCGACCTTTGCGTACAAAAGCAGTTCGTTGTCAACCCAATTCACCAACAACAACCGCACACCACTTTCATTTTTCGTGTCTTTGACAGACCGAACAAACAGCAACACATACATCACTCCTTCAGTGTATCCAGTGATTTTTCCACCCTCCTTCCAAGGCCGGTACTTCACGCTTCGTCAACCTCGTCGAGAAAGAAATCATCAACAGCTTTTCTCACAAGCACCTTCCTCGAAAAACACAAATCTCACCAATCCCCCACACAAGTACAACATCCCTCGAAATCAGCCAAGATGTACACCAAGAAGGCTCTCTCCGTCGGCGCCGCCTCGCTCGCCCTCATCGAGCAGGCTATGGCTTTCAACGCTCATCGCCACCTTCACCAGGACAAGCGCGAGCTGAAGTATGACGTTGTCATCGAATGGGTCACCGTCACTGTCACCGGTGATGAGTCGGTCCCTGCCGCCACTCCCACTCCTACTCCTCAGCCTGCGGTCCCCGAGGCCCAGTACACTCCCACCACGACTTCTACCTCGATTGTCGTGATCCCTACTCCCACTCCCACCCCGGTCTACGCCACCCCCAGCACCACTCTCATCAAGTCGGTCGCTCCCAAGTCCTCTTCCCAGGCTCCTGTCGCTGAGGCCTTCTCTGAGGCTGCTGTCGCTGTTGCCGCTGTGCCTTCTACTTCTTCCGCCAAGGCCACTGCTTCAGCCGTCGTCAGCTCCAGCTCCACCGTTGGAAAGCGTGGTGTCGCTTACAATGACCCCACCAAGGTCAACGCCTTCTTCACTGGCGCCTGCGCCAACTGCGGCTGGGCTTACAACTGGGACTCTGCTGACAACGGCATCACTGCCACGGGTGTCAACTTCGTCCCCATGCTCTGGGGTCCCATCGACACTCACACCGCCCGCTGGGCCGAGAATGTTAAGGCCTCCATCACCAAGGGCTCTACTCACATTCTGAGCTTCAACGAGTGCGATATGCCTTCTCAGTGCAACCTTGCCGCCGCCGATGCTGCTACCCAGCACGTCAAGTACATGAACCCCTACGCCACCACCAACGGCAAGAAGATCCAGATCGGAGCCCCTGCCATCACCAACAGCAACATTGCTGGCCAGGGTCTCGACTGGCTCAAGGCTTGGGTCTCTGCCTGTGACACCGCCGGCTGCACTTACGACTTCTGCGTCACCCACTGGTACTCTCCCTCCACCGCTGCCGACACCCTCTTCAGCCACCTTCAGGCCGTCCACGAGGCCTGCGGCAACAAGCCCGTCTGGTTGACCGAGTTCGCTCCCTTCGGTACCACCGATGAGATCTCCAGCTTCGTCTCTACCAACGTTCCCAAGCTTGACAGCCTGTCGTACCTCGACCGCTACTCTTACTTCATGGCTTCCGATGGCGTTCTCAACTCCGGCTCTGGCCTCAGCGCCCTCGGCCAGACCTACGCCGCCGCCGCTTAAGCTGCTTGAAGCAGGAACGGTTGACTTCTTCGATTCTGGCACACAATTACTAGGGACAGCAAATGTGTATTTTTGGTTCACCGGGATTTTCGGGCGGGCCACTTTCTGAAAGTGAACAAACACTTTCTCTTTTCTTCTTCTGCTGTACATACAGTTAACCATTTTCTCTTTTTCGGGACTTTCGCTTTTCACATTCAGGGGTAGTCACTCGCTGAATACTTTCACCACTGGATGATATTTCGGGTCGGGTTTGGCTCTCTAGGTATACCCGACAATGGTGTTTGCGGAATTTTTCATAAAAAGGGGAAACGGGCTCCAGGACGATCCATACGAGGACCAAAAGGATAGACTCACGAGCTACGAACACAAGGAATACCAGGCTGCATAAGCCACGTTATCACATTTATCTGTTTTTCAAGTGACCTTGCCTGTCGTGCTGTGATGTCGTTACGGGGTGGCCTTGGGAAAAACGTATGTCCGGACATACCTTGATAGGAGGTTCATCGTCCATGCTGATGGCCAATTTAGCCGGCCTTGACTGATTCCGTCCTGCCTTTGAAGTCTATTGTGACCGTGACTGCTCACGTGCTCGACAGTCAGACTGACGACTGTTTTCGTGAAACGGATGCAGGAACTAGGTCATCTGGTGTAAAGCAAAATGGAGTTCGTATGATGAGAAGAGACCTTGGTGAATATTCGCGGCCGTCACATTCCGTCCCAGCAGCATGCGTCCTTCACCGGCACAGGTTCCGTCCGGCGAATCACTGCCCAAAGTAGATTCACAGCACGAGGGACGACACAATCCGTTACGGCACGAGTTCCATACGGTATATTACGGTGTATGGAATATGGTTTTAAGCTTCACCTGGGGGTATGTCACAAATGCCCGTGCGGTTGGACCGGGAGTCCGGGAGTCCTATACTTGGGTGCTTGTCCTTGCCCTTGTGGGAAAGAAAAAAGTGTTGCGTTTCTTACGTAGGTCGGAGCTCTCTCCAAGGGTGAAGAAGCTTTTTTTCCATTGCGGGGGGTTTGATGACACATGCTGACTAGAGGGAAATAAGAGCTACACGTAGGTGAGGTGGTGATAAGAGCGCGAGAAATGTCCTATGCCGAGCCACTCGTTCTCGTAGCGATGTAGTGAATGTCGAACTCTTTCTCCGCGTTCTGAGAGGTCAGGAGAAGGTGCCAATGAACGCTGAGTCGGTAGGCGACAGAGTGAAGCACACTAACGAGGGTTGAATTTTTTCTAGAATCAAGAGCAGAATTTTGAGGATTGGGGCAGGTACGGCTTATGATGTGCTTGGTGATCAAGTATGATGTCAGCTACCCTTTCGATGCAGCTGCTGTATGCGAGCTTGAGATGAAGACCCGTTCGCCGCTTTGCCACCGGCTTATCTTCAATCTCAATTTGATCCGTGAGCGTCGAGCTGTGAGGTCCGCGTAGATAATTAAATCAGTTCGTGAATCAAGGTGCGCTCGCGGGTCTCGGAACGCGCTTCAGTCACGCCCGAGTGATATCCTTTTCGAGGGCGCATGCAACTCGATGATGCAGGATACAGGAGCTCCATGCAGCCCGGTGCTACCCCATCTCACATATTATATCAAAGAGGATACTCTTGACGGATTACGAAATGAGAAGGTTAGGGAAGCTCAAGTTGGGGAATGAACGCCTCGTTCCAGCAGGAAGGCGATGAGCCTCTCCACTGCTGCGCCCTGGACGAGCTACGGAAGGCTCCTCCCGCATTTGAATCCAAGTCGAGAATATTGGCGCAGCAAGAAAACTACAGAAGGGCGGCAATCTGGATTTCGACCTGACCCCGTCCGAGCAAGAAGACCAAGGAAAAGTACAATCTTCTTGCGTCGGGTTTAATAGGCTGCGGAGATTTTGCCCTCCTTCTTTGGGTTACCTTTCGGAGCCGAGAGACTCGCGTAGAAGTGCGAAACCTTCCTTGCCATAGTGAACACTCATCTCATTTGCAGAGGTGCATGAAACGACAGCCAAGAGCTAAGGTGTCACTAACCAGCGATGGTGTAAGGAAAAAAGTGTGTTTCTTCGGCACTTGGGTCTTAGGGAGATGGGGAGGTAGGGAGGATGAGAAGGACGAGGAGGAACGGAGAGATTTTGGAAGTTCCTATTCACCTGAGTCTTGGCTCTGTGTTGCCAATGTTTTGGGCGAGGTGATGGTGCTGATGATGGTGTCTGAACAGCCGAACGGGTCGGACATGCGACCGTAAGCTCGCTCTGCTCTGAAGGTACTTGCGAGAGGGCACGCGGATGACATCTATCCTAGTGTTCCTGTGAGCTGAACATGTCAAGGCCAACTCGGAAAGAAGATTGGCTGAGACGTCGGCGAACTAGGTATACCGGTGAATGTCAGGTGCCGGAGATGGAGTATGTCCGCCAAGGTCCCAGTTCTGTTCACGATAACTTTAGTATGCTTCGCAAGTGATCTCTGCGGATGTGATAGCTCATGAAGGTGTGAGCCTCGAGGTTGTGAAAACCCACGAGGAATTGACGACAAAATTTGAGACGAAAGATCGCGATCTATTTCTTGGCGGCAACGTGCCCTTCGACTTTGCCATGTCCGAGATATGGAGCTTTCTGATTTTCTTCGCCACCGCCGAAATCTGTGAATTTCTGTGCCGGCATGCCCAAAATCACCAAGGTGTGAATAGGTGAGAGGGAGAAGGGGGGGAAATGGGAAAGTGGGCAGGAGAAAAAGTCTCAGCGCCGACGAACTATCGCCGATGAATCGAGCAAGAAGGGACGACGGAACGGCGGCGTTGTCGAACCATGCCGACGATGGGATGCAAGGGAGATTTTCTACTTTGCTTGGAGGTGTTCAAATTCCTTTTGATGGTCTATGTCGGCGATGAGGGTTGTGAGATACATGGGCGGAACCGGTGGGAGCCCTTTTGCTTGATTATGCAACTGACAAGACTAATCTCGAAGGTAGAGATAGACTGAAGGCTTCGAATGAGTAATACAGATGCAGTGCATCAAGCACTAATTCTTCCATGGCGGGCAAAACGCAGTTTGTTACTTTAGTAATTTGCGTCATTAGCCTCATTCAACTTGAACTTGGACTTTACGACCAAAAAGGCTATCTACAAACACACGTGCGGTGCTAAAGACCCGAGAAAACTCGTATTGCGTCAATACGTTTACGACGTTTGACTAGACGATAAGTAAGTTGCGACATAACGGGACGAGGCTGTGCTCTGAAAGAGCCTGTCTCCACGAGCCACTTGCACGGAGAAGGGAAGGAGCACGAGATCACGGGCGCAAGGGCCTCATGGAAAACAGTATCCGTAGAAGATCAGTTCACCACTCTCACCACCCTTGCTAGAAACCCTGACCTACCCCAGGAGACCAAGAGATTGGTGGAGATTCTGTTTAAAGCTTGTGGGAGAAAAACTGCTCAAAACGAGCATCATAGCTTTTGGGGACACATCATAGGAGAGTAGAAAGTCTCCCCCGGCTTCGACATCCGGACTGGCAAACTACGATCCAATCATCAGATCAAGGCAAAACAGTCGAAAGCCAAACCCTTACTCTTGTGATGTCAGAATCAGTCCAAGGGCGAGAACGCAAGGATTCCCAGTCTCGTTTTGCGGTAGAGTTGCGTCGGGTCGGGATATGGTTCACGGATTGGCCTGGGTTTTGGAGCTTAGGGTTGGGCTGGCTGTCGAAGAGCAAATCTGAACGTAACCATGATAGGCTTCGAAGCATTTGAGGGCGGGATTGGACCTATGGCGAGATGGGATGAGAGAGGATGGGGGGTTAAGGGATGGTGTAAGTGGTATTCCAGTTGGCATGACTCGTGGAGATCAAACTGTGAGCAGGTTACAAACACCGTTTCTTGGCCGTTAACTTAGACCTTTGCTCGAGTTAAGCTTCGGGATACGGATACGTTGCTCGAAAAAAGGGAAGAGGCTGAACCGTTGCGGGGAACGGGGGCGGATACCTTTGGTTACACCCGAACCGAACCGGCTTCCTGGTGGATATCCGTCTCTCGGTCCTATCCGTGATGTGGGGAGACCCGGCGGCGCAAAGTGGAGTCTGGGTGAAGACCTGCCGTCTTGCTCCTCTCATTTTTGCCATTGTGCCATGAAATTTGCCCACGAGGAACGCCAGGCCGCAGATGGAGACATGGCGGCAGTCTAAGCGGCAGGACGGATGAGAGGAGAAGATGCACAAATAAGGTAGACTTCGGTGCGCCTAGATTACGGAATGTGCAGATGTGATACTGACTACCCCAAAATTGGGTTTCTCGGTAGTATTAAAGTTGAGGAAGGTCCAATGAGACGGAGATGTGATGGCCCCAGCGCTTGTATGTGTATGAGGTGATGGAGATGCCGCGTGGAGGGGTTACCTTACACATGTCATAGTTGGCTGACCTGACGTACCCTTATCTACTAGCTGCAGTTGCAGCCGGTTTGCCGCCATATCTCGTGATGTGCTTATGCCAATGCCTATATTCCCCTTCTCATATTCTTTCTAACTTAGTGCTTCAAAGTGTATGATTTCCCAGAGCAACTTCAATGCGTCGTTAGCTAAATGTGGCCGTGGGTTCGTCGCACTCATCTCAAGGAGGGGAGCTTTTTTACTTTGCCCCTCATTCTTTAGCCAGTCAATTAGCTCCCGCGGAACGCAAGACAACGGATCTCGATCTCTGAATGGTTGTATGCAACTGTACACGTGGTCGAGGCGGTCTACATTAGCCCAACAGCATGTGCAAGGAAGCTTGCGTCGCTTAGATCTGACCTTTTCCCTTCTCGGTATCTAAGATCTTTTATCCCCCAATCTCGCCTTTCGCTTGCGCCTCCCCCTCCATCTCTACCGTCTTACGTGAACATAGCGCCTGGTCCTTCCATCTCTTTGCCCGCATCTTCTACTAGTAACTCTACCATCCGCTAGGAAGGAGTCTTAGGTTACCGGCTCTATCACACCTGGTCAGGACCAGGGTCAGGTCAGCCTCAAACCATTCCGTGTGGTGTTCCATCGACTTACTCAATGTGGTGGTTTGTACTACCGTGATAATACGAGTCTTCCGAGATACGAGATGCCTGCTGGAGCGCCATCCCATGCGCTTCACAACTCTGTCCCATCTTTAGTTTCTCCGATGCTCCGCTCCCTCTCGCACTCGTCTCGTGCTGCGGCCCCACATCCGTTCGCCTCAGAGCTGCCTTAGTACCGTGGCTTGCTTTCTTCACGTGCGTGTGTGCTCGAACTCGATATTGAGATATCGTAGTCGGGGCCTCTCAAATTCACTGCCCAATGACCACCCCAAGGAGCGCAGTGACCATAAAGCAGAAGAGGAGAAAAGGAGAAAATTCCAAGAAAGACAAGGAAACCGTATTTCTTCATGTTCATCCTTCTCGACATTGGACCACGAGATCCCGAAACCAAGAACTCTATCTTTACATATTCCGTGGATCCCACGCCATGGATCCCACGGGAGTATTCAACGAGTCATATATATTCTACTGCCCGTGCTTTGGATACAGAGTCCGAGGGGAGTCTGTAAAGACGCCTACCGAATCGTCGAATAGAAAGCAGCGCTGCGGGCGTAGGCAAGTTCAGAAGAATCTGCGAAGATTAGGCGAAAGATTCAACACGCGGAAACAAGATGCCTGTAGCCCCCTCGCACTTGGAAAACCTGCCTACTACGGTAGGCAAATCCATCTCATCTCTTCCCTCCCCAATGTACTGTAACCTTGTTATGCTATGCAAGCACTTGACCGTGCCAAGACTTTGAGACATAAGCATGTTCACAGAAACGTGAACGGGAAGAAGCACGTTCCCCTTTTGGCGTCTGCTCCCCTAAATCACTGCCAGGAACCTTTGCCACGTTATGCTGGACAGCGGTAACCAAATCCCGAGAGACTTGTGCGGCTCAGGAGTCTAAATCATACAATCTGTACAGCCGCGAGGGACAGGCGGTGCCTCTTGCGTTATGGCAGTCAGAGTAGGGGAGTAACGGAGTAGAACTCCGGGGGGAGCTAAGCAGGCGAGGCAGGGTACGCCTTGGCTGTAAGGTTTCTTCTATT